GTTGACATACAGAGCAATCAGTATCAAAATCAATTTGGAAAAAAAATGTTGGTGATAGAGTTTTTTAGAAATTTGACAAAGTGTCCAGAATTGCCATGAATTTCCAGTTTGACAATCACAAGCAAAGACCAATGAGAGTTCAGGAAGTGTTAACCAATTACGAAATTCAGAGCATTAATATAGCAGAAACACCTATCTAGAGTAGGTCTACAAATGTCCAGGACGGATGTGACTCAGAAGGTGTCAAAGTAATCCTGAGCAAGACCAACCCATTCTTACTCCCAACTCATCAAATACTGCAGCTTGGTCAGTGTCCCTCGGCATCTTATACTGACACAAATGCACCCTGCATGAGACGCACCAGGCTTTCAACTAACTCCAATCAGTATTCGATTTACCGTTATTTTTGCTACATAACTTATCTAGCCTACTAGATACAAGTTACAAATTGCGCTTTTCTAGTCTTTCCGACCACTCAAAGAGCTTTCACACTGCATTCATCCATTGATGGCAGGAGCTAAGTGCCACCTGCCTATCAGACCAACTCATTCACACACCGTAGGCACAGCTACGGGAGCAATTTTGGGGTTAAGTGTCTTGCACATCGACAAGCGGCTAGCGTAGCCGGAGTCGAACCGCCGATCTTCTGATTGAAAGACGATCCTGCTCTCCACTTAGCCACAGTCGCCCCATTACATAATTAACACATAATTAAACCCAAAACATTTGTAAAATTATGTTGGACGTTAATTTTTAAAGGACACGCCATCCCTAAACGGTCCAAAACTGCCACTATATGTTTGCCTAAAGCATCATAGTTTGAAGTGTATACCAAGATGCTGTACATGATTTGTTGGGAAATTTTTCTCAAATAATCCAGGCATTTTACACTTTACCAAAATGTGGGTCAACTTCACACAAATTGCAACAAATACATTGTCAACGGATTCTGTTTCCTTAATATGTTCTGAATAAGATAAGAAAAAGTCCAAAGGGATTGTATATTGGGAAAGTTTTAATACTTGCCCAAGTATGATCGTACCAAGAACACTTTATTTGTCATATTTCAGTCACCATACAAGCCTACATTGTTGTGCATATTAGATTTGTCCATTCTGTTTTTTTCCTTCAAGCAAAAAACAAATACAGTACATCAGTGATGAGAACAAATTATGATTACATAATTGTTTTGGTCCTATCCACACAGGCCTGATTCTATTTCATTCAGACCTGGTCCTATTTCCAACCAGACCTGGTCCTATTCTAACCAGACCTGTGTGATAGAAAATTTCATTGTGCTGTATAATGTTCTACTGTGACTTTTCTAGTGTGCTTTATTCAATGTTTGACAAACCTATATGGGATTTCTGCTGTAACCTCCTTCTCCAGGAAGGATCCCAAAAGGAGTGTTTGTGGAATATTTAGATTAGGTCAGTCATAGATCTTTGATGTAGGGAGTGCAGACAGTAATCACAGAATGTTTAGCTTAGAGGTAGTAAACCACAGGAGGTACAGATTAGGATCTGTCGTAAATGTTTTATTGCAGGTACTATTGTGAAATGTGTAGATTAGAAACAAACTAGAAGTCTGGCCAGATTTGGCTCCATACAAGTGCAGCAGGGCCAGTTCTGGGCAAACAGCATCACGCACAGAGACAAAGTTACACACACTACAAAGCAGTATGTTTCTAGAGAAGAGATTTCATTCACAATATGATGAAAAATTGCAAAAATGTTGTGAAGTAGAGTAGAAATTGAGTTTACCATTGAGTTTACCATTATAAAGTCTAAAATAGAGAAAAGCCTATAACTTCTACCCCCCAACAGCGCCCTCTGGTGGGGCATTGCCCCTTGAGCCCCTAATGCAAAAACACTGATGGTGCCTTGTCACCAATGTAGAACAGTGCAATACAAGAGTAGGCTATTTAGGGCCCTAGCACCGACGTAGTCGGAGCGTAGGACCTATTGTTCTTCAAATGTTTATTATTATTAGGGCCCGAGCACCGACGTAGCCGGTAGCGTAGGACCTATTGAAATACAAATGTTTATTATTATTAAGGCCCGAGCCCTTTATTATTTCGTCGAACGCCGTTGCCGTGGCGACGCAGTCTTTGCCGTGAAAACTGAAGATGCTGTTGAGGGGCTAAAAATGCTCGAAACATAAGCAAACATGGCACGCACATTTAAAGCCCAAAATGTAGTTACTTACTATGGTTTTAATGCTTCAGAGTGGCAAGTCGGCTCGATAGCGCCTCCTACACAATTTCGACAAAGCAGCCCTCGCAGTACGTTTCACATAGAGTTACAAAATTTGGAAGGCACATGTATCATATTTGGACTTAAAAATAAGTCTCTTGGGGCCATGCTCTAAACCCAACCGGAAGTCAGACGTTTTAACTTTTGTATGAATTTCTAGTGTCGCTTTTGCCATTTCCAGACGCTGTACTTTAACGAACTCCTCCTAGGAAATTAATCAGATTGATCGAATGGTGCTTTTTTGATGCCACGCCACGGATACATAGTTCGATAACTTTTTGATCTTTGAGTATCTTTTCACTGCCAAGGTCTCAAGAGCACACTGACTGAATCTAAAGTCAATCGGGTTAAATCTCTAGGAGTTCGTTAAAGTATGATGCCTTGAAACGGTCCAAAAATGTCATAAAATTCAAAATGGCCGACTTCCTGTTCGGTTTAGTGAAAAATTCCAAGAGGATTTTATGTACGTTCCATCACGTTCCACATACCTACCAAATTTCATACAGCTAGGTGAAACCCAATGTTGGGGCTACTCAACAGGGGGCGCTATCAAGCCAATATTTCATATTGGACACCCCAATCAGACTGCAATTTTTGCAAATTCTGGCTTGCGTGCCAAATTTCACAAAATTCCCAGTATCCTAAGCGCCTCCTTTTCACGACAAAACACGCGCGATAATAATAAACATTAGAAGAACAATAGGTCCTCCGCTCCGAACCACGTCGGTGCTTGGGCCCTAATAAACATTAGAAGAACAATAGGTCCTCCGCTCCGACTACATCGGTGCTCGGGCCCTCATAATAAAAATTAGAATAACAATAGGTCCTCCGCTCCGACTACGTCGGTGCTCGGGCCCTAATAATAATAAACATTAGAATAACAATAGGTCCTCCGCTCCGACTACGTCAGTGCTCGGGCCCTAAAAATTCCCCCTAAAACATCTTCAATTTGTTCATGAGCAAGGTACCAAACCTTCACCTAGCAGCAGAGCTTCTTCAGTGGCTTTAGAACTAGCAGACAGGATGATTTATCAACGATGAACCTTCCTCCTCAGACACTCTGGGTACTTCTCAAGTCTCTTAAGTGTCGTTTCCTCGCTCCTCGATCCTCGCTTGAACCGGAAGTTGTTTCTGCGTCGCCATATTGACGGCCGTCCCAAAGCTCTAATGTAGCTCGGAGGAGCGAGGATCGAGGATGGAGGGACCTCGGAGGAGCCATGAGCGAGGAACCACGAGAACAGACTTCCAGGAAGTCTTTTAACAGCCGACACGCCCCCTCATTGTTCATCAGTTATGTGATTGGACGCTGCAGCCGATCGGACTGACTGGAGTTTCATACCAGAGTGAAGACAGATCACAGAATAAACTCAAGCTTTATATTTGATTAGGTTTCTGATTCACCATCTGGTTTAAATAAATGTTCATTGTAGTCTGAACAACAAAACGACCTCAAACAACTTTCTTCATTTATTAGAAAGATTTGTGTTTTCATGATCTGATATTTCCCTCAATAACTTTTATTATGAATACAATTAAAGTCAGAGGAGGCAGAGCTGGAGAGACGAAACACTTTTTACATCATTCCTGAGTGTTTGATGAGTTTTATCATTTAAGAGAAACAATAATCATATCCTGGGTTATTTAACAATGACGCCACAGTCACAATTTCAAAAAGTACAGACGCAAATAATTCATAAATAAGACGATGGCATTCCGCCGGTAGAAATCGATCCTGCGCTTATGAACAGAACACAGGACACAGTTTGTTAACAGACTACAGAGAGAAACACCTCTACAGTGGTGAATACTGTGTGTCTTTATTGGTATTATTAGTTAATATTATTAAGTACAGTGATCATGTGAACAGACACAAACTTATCAAAAGTCTCTCCAGCTGCTAAAGCCGACTGACAGCTGATCCAACTGTGATCAGCTGATCCTCCGTCAGTAACAGACGTCGCTTCACGTAACGCAACTGAGGAAAGGACGTCTCATGACTCTTAAAACATATCTCCTCGTTTCCTCTGTCCTCGCATGGTTTCCTCTATGCATCCCTGGTCTGAGGGACTAAGACGCAAGGAAAGGACGCAAGTGAGGGAAACGGGGATGCAATTAAGAGACTTGAGAAGTACCCTCTGTAGGCTCAGCATCCGGGTCACCAAACGCTTCTTGTTCATATCCTCACGTGCAGGAGGGTGGTTTAAGGGGCGGGGCTACTGAGTGAAAATGTGGACATTTAGAGATGGACCCATCAAGTTAGCCAGAGAACGGTGGAGCAGCCTCAATACAAAAGCTTTTCAATATTTACCTTCAAAATAAAAGCATGATATTAGCAGCACTAATACATATCCAAATATATTTGTAAAGATTGACTTTTTCAAAAAAGAGAGCTCGACTGGTATTTGAGACTTTGACTTTCTGCAACATTTTGTCGAGCAACAATTGTTTGTGCATTAAGTGGCTTTACAGTGTCGGTGAATATTTTGTCATTTAAACGTTGTGAAACAGACTTAATAGAGGCAATAATAAAGCCTTCACACCTCATGACGTTTACCTAATGGTAGCAAACATCCTCACTCAAGGTCCACTATTCCACTCCACTAGCTATCCATCACATCTGACTGAATTGATTTTACGCAGGTGTTGAAAAGTGCTGAAAGTCCACATTTGCAAATACAGGTTGTATTTCGAAAACAACCGGAAATCGTGATTATCTGCGCGTAGCCAGAGCATCTGTGGTGTAGCTTGATGGTGAAGCTGCGGCTTTTGCGGAAAACACCCAAGACCGAAGCGGGGTTAGTCTACCCTCCGTGGCGTATTTCCACGGGCCGCTCTTCTAATGTCGTCCAAACCGTGGCTTGATATACGGTGCTGTGTTTCCGTCTGCAGGGACCAACGTTCGCTTGGAGAGAGACGGAGTCTGGCTCCACACACGGTAAGATGATGCATCCGTGTACATCATGTCGGGGTTTTCACTGCATATGGAAGAACGGGGATAAATGATGAGCTTACTGCATAGCAGGTTAACGGATATTACACACGGGACATGTTGCATGGACAGTAAGAGCCCAAGTGAAACACAGATACAGAGAAGTATCAGTCCAATATTACGTGAAGCTCAGGGAAGCTAAAGCAGCCGTTTAAACGGGTGACTAGCGTGAAGTCAGCGGTATTGTTCTCCGTATCACTTGAGAGCTTCGACTGTTCACAGCGTCCACACCGCAGTCAGGCTGACGGTGCGGCTCGGACACACGGAGCTAGGTGGAGCTAGGTGGGCCTACAGCAGAAACATCTGCCTCTGTAAGGAGTCATTCTCTATTGGGCATACATAAGACATAGCGACTTCAAATGTTCAGCGTGAATTGATTTCGTTGTACCAGCTGCCAGTCACCTGCCAGGAATAGAAAACGTGCGGTAAAGCGCTAGGTTTTGACGTGGATGTTGGCGTGACTGTCTCCGTAGTAGCTGCCATGTGCAGGAGCTGGTCACCAGGTTCTGTTCAACACTAACAATGCAAACTATGCCTCTGTGTTTCTCTCTTCATTCAGGCTGTGTGACGGGGGACTATGGGAGGCCAAGATGCACAAAGCTGCCCAATCCGGAGGACTGATAGAGACAGAGGGAATCAGCTTATTTGATCCAACGTTAATTAATTCAACAACTCTGACATGGAACACAACTGTGGAGTACAAAGGTGGAGAGGAGCTGGTGATACGGTCCCATTTGTAAAGCTGAAGGAGGAAACGAGGTGCACATCCTTCCGATCACGTTGCTGAAAAAGAGTAGGCGTGCTCGATCTGTGCATATGACACAGGACTTACGAAGCCAGATGAGCGAACTGGATGGAGTGACCATGGACGCAGCTATGTAAGAAGACATCTCTACAGAGTGCAGGTCCTGACAATCAACACTATTGTGATTCATGCCACATATGTGGGCTCTCAGGGGGAAAAGGTGGTTACTCAGAAGAAGAGAAATGAGCAGATGATGTATACCTAAGAGTTCTCTCAGCGTTTGGTCTACTTTAGGACGACAAACTGCTTTCTATTTTTTATTTCAAAGGAGAAAGCAGGAAGCAGAAGCCCTGAGTGGTCACCATGCCTCGAAACCGAGCCTTTTCCGAGCCAGAGTACTCGGCCGAGTACTCGGCGGACTGCTCGGTCACTCTGCCCTCTGACCCCGGGCAGGCGGTGGGGCGAACACACGAGGTCACGGTTCGGAGCTCAGGATGCTGCCTCTGCCTGCCTCGGTTCATGCGCCTCACCTTCGCACCAGAGTCTCTGGAAAACCTCTACCAGACTTATTTCAGACGGCAGAGGCACGAAACCCTGCTGGTGCTGGTCGTTTTCGCTGCCCTCTTCGACAGTTACATCATCGTCATGTGTGCGGTGGTCTACACCACTGACAAGCTGGCTTCAGTTTTAGTGGCATCGCTGGGACTGGCGGCCGACATTGTCCTCTACATGCTGTGCCGCTTCGGGCTACTGCCGGACCGCATCTCGAGACGGGTGGTGCCTTACGCTCTGTGGGTGCTCATAGCAGCTCAGATATTCTGCTACCTGGGTCTGAACTATGCTCGCTTCCACCAGGCCAGCGACACTGTGGGCTGGCAGGCTTTCTTCAGCTTTTCTTTTTTCCTGACTCTGCCTTTGAGGCTGACACCCATCGTGCTCATCACTACTGTATCCTGTGGGGTCCACACCCTGGTTCTGGGCGTCACTATCGCCCAGCAGCAGCAGGAGGACATCCAGGGAACAGCACTTAGCAGACAGGTAAGAGAAGGAAGTAGGTGGTGTCTATGCTTGCCCTGAAATACATTTACTTGTGTGTAATGTCACTTATTTTACATAATTTTACAGAAGTCTAGCAGGCTTTGAACACAAAAGTTGATTCCTAGATGCAGTAGGCCAAAAGCTGTGGTTCACACACTAAGCTATGTGATTGTTATTGCACACATGATACCTGAGTTTGAGGTTTGAGACCCAGCTCTAGTCATACCTAGGGATGGGTATCGTTTGGGTTTTTTCCGATACCGGTGCTAAAACGATACTGGTGCCTAAACGGTGCCTGAACCGATACTTTTTTTCTTCAAATTGAACAATATATTAACTGTTTAAAGTATACTATAAATATAAATAAATACAAAACACTTTGCTTCAAACTACAGCTTCAAACTTTTTAACTTCAAACTATGAACAATATATTAACTGTTAACAGTATACTTAAATAAATATAAATAAATACAAAACACACACACTCTGTACACACACTACAGCTTTAAACTTCAGCAGTTCTTTTGCAGAAATATGAGCATATTTGCCTTCTCTGGCAAAATACGACACGTCTCATGACTTATTTAATTTTACCAGTTGGTGGCGGTAATGCGCCAATTCGTCGTTTGCCAACCGCCACTACACCTCAAAGAAGAAGAAGAAGAAGAAGCTTTCGTGTGCCTGTGGATGTTGTGCTTATGAGCGGCAGCGCTAAGTACCCCGTTGTAATAATACTACGAGTGAGGAGCGGAGGACCAAGGCTATCGTTACCTGCTGCCAGGACGGAGTCATCAGAGTAGTGTAAAAAAAGTATTTCAATCGGCTCAGGCACCGAAAGGAAGCACCGAAATCTGCGTTGCGTTTCGGTCCGGTAGATACCGGTTGTATAGGAACCGGTGCCATATTGGCACCGCTTTTTGGTACCCAACCCTAGTCATACCAGATCCTTTTGTGTTCAAACTAGTTTGAGGCTTTTAGCTATACTTGATGTTTTCACAGCAGACAGACAAGAAAGTTGGTGAGAAAAGGAGGGAAATGACATCCATCAAAGGTCCCCAACTGGACTTTAACTGGGTACATTGCATGTACATGGTATGTATGTGCCTTAGACCACTAGGTGAAAGAGATTTTCTGAACAGGTTGAGGCTGATATGACAGAGTGAATGACACAGGTTGGCAGCAGGCAATGATGGGGTCTAGATAGATAGATTAGATGTATACTTTATTCATCCCCAAGGGGAAATTTGTCTGTGGCAGCAAATTCAGTAGGTCAGATAAAACCTGTGTGAAAATGAGATCCTCTTGCTTAGAAGTCACTGCTTGCAACACAGCAAGAGGCAGAGCAGACATGTGGAAGTCTTTTTTTGCCTTATGCACAAATCATGTGTACAATTACAAATGAACAACCAACCATTCTGATGCATGTATGAAACATGCACATTTAGTGCACAATACTGTATTGTATGAGTTGTTTGCTCTTTAAATAATACAACACCAAACCAGCCTCCACTTCCAAAGCACGTTGTTTTAAGGTGCGCGTATGTACTAGGCATTACGGTAAGTGTGTGTAAAAACTGACTTCTAAATAAGAGCAACGTTCTGGTGAACGTGATAGGACATGTGACATTTATTCCATAAGTCAGTCAATACATGTCAATAATGGATACATTGATAAATGCATAAATAAATGATGTATGAAACTAAATGAATAAATTAAAAATGATAAATTTAATGAATGGTAATTTATAAAACAATAATAATTACTGCATGCAAACTGTATTTCAAGGAAAAAGGTAATTCCCATTCTGTGAATACTTGTTAAAATATATTAATAAAGAATATATTTCCAAAGACCGATAGGACTTCAAAATGACAGTACACAACATCAAATGCAGACATTTCAAGGTTCTACTAGAAAACTTCGCAAGAAATTGACAGTGTGGCTTCTATTGCCCGAAGACGTCGCAATATAGTGTGTGTGTGTGTGTGTGTGTGTATGTATAGGTGTATGTGTGTGTGTATGTATAGGTGTATGTGTGTGTGTATGTATAGGTGTATGTGTGTGTGTATGTATAGGTGTAT